TCTGGACACTACACTGACAGACACAGCAACCCTTTTTGCCACAGCTTGCATTTATGTGCCATCCTGGATGAGCTGCACTACCTGAACCACTTGTGTGGGTTGTAGACTCTGTATCATGCTACCACTAGAGTGAAAGCACCACCAGCATTCAAAAGTGACCAAACCATCAGCCAGAAAGCATAGGAACTGAGAAGTGGTCTGTGGTCACCACCTGCAGAACCACTCCTTTATTGGGGATGTCTTGCTAACTGCCTATTCTTTCAACCTGTTGTTTATTCCATTTGCACAACAGCATGTGAAATTGATTGTCAATCAGTGTTGCTACCTAAGTGGCCAGTTTGATTTCACAGAAGTGTGATTGACTTGGAGTTACATTGTGTTGTTTAAGTGTTCCCTTTATTTTTTTGAGCAATGTAGTTATCTGCTATTCATGGTATTACTGTCTACTGCTTATCTTAGTTTATAGTTAATTTTTTTTCTCTTCCTTTAATAGTGGAATTTACAATTCCAGGTGGGGAATGTGCTGTCCCAGCCAGTCTATGGGAATTGGATAGTTACTTAGGAATTATGAACAATTTTTTTTTGGAAATATTCTTTTTATTTGATCCTAATAAGATTTTATCTAAATATTGTAATTTGCTATAGATTCCAAATTCTTTGATATCTTGTTTGTATCTGCTATGGATTTGTATATATAACCACTGGTCAATTTTAAATCCCTGTTCCTGTAAATCCTGTCGAGTTCTTAATTTTCCTAGAGGGTCTAATAAATCTTTATATTTAGTCATTTTTGTTATATCCAAATTGTTGGGATGAACCATTGCCTCCATTGTTGAAAGCCAAATCGGAATTTTTAAATAATGTTTTTTGCATATTTTTTTCCAATTAGTTAATAATGAATCTCTAATAAGGTGTCTATGAAAATACGACTGTTTAGTTTTCCCCACTTCCCATAGAAATGCATGCCACCCTCTCTGAAGATCGTGCCCTTCTAAGGCTAAGGTTCTTTTATTGAGTAAATTAACCCAGTCTTTTAACCATAATAAGTTGGCTGCCCAATAATATAATTTCCAATTTGGGAGCGCTAGCCCCCCCTCTACTTTTTGCATCTTGTAAAGCCTTAATATTGATTCTAGCTTTTTTCCCTTGCCAAATAAATGTAAGTGTTACCTTATTTATATCTTCAAAAAAATTTTTTGGTAATTTAATTGGGATTGTCTGGAATAAGTAAAGGAATTTTGGTAGGATGTACATTTTGATCGTGGCAATCCTGCCCAGTAGAGAAAGCTGCAGCTTATTCCAGGATTCTAGGTCTTTCTTAATTTGCTGTAATAGTTTATTGTAATTATTCTCTTTGGGCGATTTACTATGTGGTGTTAACCATATGCCTAAATATTTGACCTTTTTTGTTGCCTGTATCCCTATGGTTTTTTCTAATTCTTTCCTCTGATTCTCTGTTAGATTTTTAGTCATTAATTTTGTCTTATTTCTATTGATCTTTAATCCTGCTACTGAACCAAATTGATCTAGTTCTTTTATTAGGTTATGTCCTTTTTCCATGGGTTCCTCTAGGAAGAAAACCATATCGTCTGCGAACGCCTGTAGTTTATATTCCTCTGCTTTGACCCTTACTCCTTGGATTTCAGAGTTTTGTCTTATCCGCGTTAACAGTGATTCTAAAGCAAGTACAAATAGGAGGGGTGAGAGGGGGCAACCCTGGCTGACGCCCTTTTCAATGTTTAATGGGCCTGTTTGTTCACCATTAATTAGTATGTTGGCCTGTTGGGTGTTGTAAATTGTTGTGATAATGTTCTCGAATTTAGTGCCCAGACTCATGTTATAGATTTTTTGTATTAAAAAGTGCCAATGTAGATTATCAAATGCTTTCTCAGCATCTAAAAACATGAGTGCAAATTGTTTCTCTGGATGAACTTCATAATATTCTAAGACGTCAATAATGGTTCGTAGATTATTTTTGATTTGGCGGGACGGAAGGAAACCATTTTGATCTTCATGAATGTATAAATTTAAAACTTGTTTTACTCTATTCGCTATAATTGAGGTAAATAATTTATAATCAGCGTTTAAAAGTGAAATTGGTCTATAATTGTTGATATATCGGGCATCTACATCCTCCTTCAGAATTAATGAAATCAACGCCCCCCTCCATGAGTCTGGCATTTTGGCTGCCAAAAGTATTTCATTAAACACTTCCAGCATCAGTGGCCCTACTAACTCTATTGTAGCTTTGTACAATTTTACTGGAATCCCATCTGGACCAGGGGATTTATTATTACTTTGGTTCTCCATTGCAGATTTCAACTCAGACCATGTAATATCCTTATTTAATAATTCTTTCTCTCCTTCCCCTATTGTTTTATCATTCGTATTCTCCAGATAAGTTCTTATTTTGTCTTCATTGATTTCTTCTTTTTTATATAATCTTTGAAAATAGTTTAATATAATATCCTTTTTCTTCTCAATCTCATGTTGTGGTATGCCTTTCTCGTCTATTAGTTGGTGTATCAGTCTCTTTTCTTTTTCTTTTTTAAGTTTATAAGATAGCCATCTTCCTGGTCTATTAGCATGTTCAAAATAATTTTGTTTGGACCTTCTCAAACTAACTTCTATTTTATCTTGTTCAATTAAATTCAGCTTATGTTTGGCTAATATTAACTGGTTTAGTATTCCTTGGATCTTAGGGGTTTTTTGTAATTGTATTTCTAAGTCTTTGATTTGTTTTTGTAATACGTTTTGTCGGGCATAAGTTCTCTTGTTTCTCATAGCATTATAGGAAATTGTTGTACCTGTTATAATTGCTTTCATAGTATCCCAAATATTCTGTTTTGAAGTTGTTTCATTATTATTATCTTTTAGGAAATAGTTTAGCTCCTCTTTCAGCTTATTGATATACTCTTCTTCATTTACTATTTGGGTATTTAGTGTCCATCTTTTTTTTATTCCTCTCCTGTCTCTCCAAATTAGCTGTATTGGGTTGTGGTCAGCCCATTCATTTGGTAGGATTTTAATTTCTTTTATTTCATTAGCCAAATCCAAATCCATCCAAGCCATATCTATTCTAGTCCAAGTCTTATATGGATTGGAATAGTATGTAAATTGTTTCTCTTCCAGGTTCCGTTCCCTGTTGCAATATCATGACACATCAGTAGGAAGTCACGTACACAGAAAACCCAATACACATACAATACACATATAGGGCGACATTGTGGAACAGCAACGTGCAAAAC